TTCCAACGGTTTAGTTATCACCATTCATGTTATACAGTCCGGTGACAGACTCACAGCAAAGTCTTAGTATTAAGGTACCATTTTAATTCTAACGATGCGGAATCCTAAAAACTAGCAAATATAATTATCGCCAGCATATTTAAAAGTACCGCATTCGTTCGTCACGAACAAACCTAAGGCTTGTTTTTACAACAGCAGTTAAAATTTAGAGCATACGCGACCCGACAGCACTCCGGGTAATTACGTGGTACCCGGGAACATAAATTTTGACGAAAATAAAAGTTGAAACAAACGTAGTTGTCACACGACATGTGAGTCGTAAACGGTGTTCATGAACACTATGGCAAAAAACATTCTAATATTTGATATAGTATAAAAAAAAGAAATGTAGATGTAATTTTATTTTGTGACAGTGTCAATGCAGAATAAATAGAGAAAAGCATTTATCTTAAAAAATATACCAATATAACATTTGTGAATTCAAAATACAAAATTAATTAATAAATATTAAATATAATAAAGAGAAAAGTTATGAAAACTCAATGTGTATCTGATGTCTAGGGAAATGGTCTGCTGATGATCTTGCTTTACAAGAGCTCTAATATATTTTTTATATTAAAAAAGGTAATGGTAACAATTTTACTGTGCAAATTTGACGAAATTAAGTTTCAATTCTATCAAATTACATTTTCAGTTTTGTATAAAAATATTCAGTTCACGTGTACATATTTTTATTAATACCGAAAAAGATGAAATCTACTCATTCATATTTAGCATATTTTTCTCTCATTCAATTCATTTCGACAATAGAATTGATTGTTTCTAAAATAGATTCAACTTTTTAGCGAACTATGCAAAACCTAGCTTGTGTCGTGTTATGTGCTAGTAAAGCCGAAATAGTCATTCGTCATAGACTTTATGTCATGAAACCATGCCGTACGGATATGGATTACCATATAAAATTACATTGTGATTTATATAGTTTAATTTAGTAATTTAGTAGTACATTTTTAAATACATCTTATATTTGAAGAGATGCATCAAAAACTTAACATATATAAAATCCATAACCTGAAATCGTCTCTGAAAACACTTAAATAAGGGTGAACTCGCAAACAATTAGACAACAAGCCGCGTGCGGACGCGACATTCATACTATCCATAATTTACGCAAAATTCCAGTAGAAAACGTTTCATTCTTAATTAGCAATGCAAACTTTAAACAAATAAAATTATTTTTTAGGACACAAAACAATCAATAATTTCATAAATATTTCCATTTTTTACTTTTTACTGCACACATTTGGACTGTTATGCTATCCATACTTTTTTAGTAATATTAACTTCAGGTTAAGAAAGGAATATGTTTAGGTTGAATTAAGAAAAATATTCATAGGTTGAGTTAGGAAAACTAATTGAGGACGAATAAAGAAATGGGATGAGATGTCATAGCATCAATACGGAACAACCCTCGTTACCATCTTAGTGTACATGGATTTTTTAAGTATTTTTCATTAAGAACCTTAACTTAAGTTTATGTGTTGTAATTTATAGGTTTTACTTTTTCTAGCACAGCATCGATAAGTCCGTAACGCGGGTATCGTGCCCAGGGGCACTAAACAGAACAAAAGAAAAATCCGGCGATAAACGTGCCAACGCTTTCGCGGCAATGTCATCGAAACCGGAATAGGATCGGTGCGAGTTGTGAACTAGTGGCGAGATCAATTAGTCAAAACGTTCACATTGGGCATGATACTGTCATACTACTAATATTTCAAGCCATCTAATTTTGACACTACAGCATCATTATCGAAAGTGTTTGAAGGTCAATTGAATGATATATGTTTTCCAAAGATTAGAATAAATATTTAATATTTTTAAATTTACGGCATCTGTAAACATATCCAATTCATAAAAATGACAAATTTATTTTAACATATTTATGTGTTTATTTTTGTTATTATTTATTATGATCGAGAAACCAATTTTTCAATGTGAAATTGAAACTTACATAAACATAGTTCGGCTAAGAATCTCCTTGTACCGCATCGAAGTATTGTCGCAGTGTAATCTCGGCGTTCGTTACTTACTGATAGAATACGTGCCCCGTTTGATAGGCATCGTCGTCGTGACCCACCGGCTGACAAGCACATGGATTCGAGCCTTCCAAACAAATGTTGTTTAACCCTACTTTCTCGAAATTTGTGAACGAAAATAGGGTAGGGTCATTAGGGTCACAAGGAAAATATTTTTTTCAATATCCTATGTGGCTTTAGACGGGTAGTTTTAGAAAAGGGTTTAGAATCGATTATATGAAAATGTATATTGAGAATGAAATATAATCAATTCCAAATTTAGGAGAATTGAATCAGTTCTTAGATAGTTCATTCTATTTGCCTAAATTTTGAATATTCTCACTTAGCGATATTAAGTCATTTCGTAATGTTGAAATTATATTAGTGATATTTAAATCATTCCATTCGAATTCAAAATAAGTGAATAAAAACTGTCTTTGTGTTCATTAAAAATGTTATCTAAATATGTGAAATTACTTTAACTCGCTATTTTGTAAGTAGCACAAAATTCTAGCAACCGTAACGTCATCTGTAATTTACAGCATTTTCTTGATCCGTAAACGGTTCGGTTTCTCTCATACTTCATATTGAGCCAAAATACTACCATAACCGGTAGAGGACCAATCGGTGAAACGATAAAGAAAATTGTATGAGCCTTAATACCGACCCCAGACGCTGTATTTACAGATAAGGCACATGTTTTATTGCCTGGCTTGCTCAGTCCGAGATGATTGCAGATATGAGACATTGTACGGAAGATGGAACTAGTTATCGCTAAGTTAGATTAGAAAATTGATAGCTTCGTTTAAAATTTTGTCCTGCCAATTAAAGCTTAGTTTAGCAGGAGCTTTAATTGAAATTATTGTTTTAAAAATAAGAGTCAGAGAAACGGCACAGAAACTAGAACCGTCGTTGCCTTCATTTGAAAATTTGAGATCATAAAAATAGTTACAAATCTTAAAATCATTGATTATTAAATAATGAATAAGTATGAAATGAAAGATTTTATGATCAAATATAACAATTCAATAACGTTTGTAATGAAAAAAAAAGTAATATTAATTTTTTATGCCAATTGTAATTTAACCAGATTGTCTTATACTTTTAAGTTACTTACTATAAAAGCTAAATGGAATTACAAAGAAAAAGATGTAAAGCCTGTGTCAAAATCGTAAATGGCTCGATAAAATTTTTGATTTTTAATTGGTCTGACTTTCGTGTTCGGCAATAGTTAATTATCAAGTACGACTGAAGGAGACTGTTCGTTTCTGGTGGCTGTTGCGTAGAGACCGGCCCGATTGACTGCTGGCACGCGATCCGCATAAATCTGTATAGTATCGCCCTTTGATCTGCGCTTATTGTGCTTTGTGGAATGTGCCGCTGGTTTGGAACCTGTATGTCGAATTGTTTACCGGTTTAGATCAATGTAGTGTCGTTCTCTTGGATTTGTCAAGCAATTAAGAGGTTTTTATTGGCAAAACAACTATTGTGCTGGTTGAGGTATTTTTTTTTGGATTCTATTAAATTTTTAGACATTTCGGATTCCTTGCTGTTTCTGTGGTCAGTGTATGGACAGCACGATAAGAAAGTATTGGATTTGAGTTATGAAAATTTCGAAGTATTGAAGACCCCGAAGGTACAAAAGACTTAATAATTAACGATTTTTTTCATCGTAAATTCTAACACAAAATTGTATAGTGTCGGTTTCGCTATTAATCTTCTATTGTTCAAAGTTTATTAATCAAAATGTACAGTGTCTTGGACAGCTAGGTTTCATGCATAGTTTAATAAGCTGAAGCTGAATGCCGTCTGTCGTCTGAATTACATTAAAGTTTCATGAGGCAATGTCAGTTGCAATCAGTTTCGACATAATATTTTGTACCATGTGTATAAATATGTAAAAATTGCTAGTTTATGTGGCTGCAATTAAAGAGCTGAATATGTTATGTAAAAAAAGGATAAGCATATGATACGGTCTATAAAAAGTATGGTTATTTATTGTTATTATTTTTTTCATACTGAGACTTCATCTGTTTTGCTTTTCCGTAGCTATTTTTTTTCGTTTAATTCATACTAGTACCTACCTGTGTTGTAATATCGAGTATTTATTTCATTTAAATAAATTAAAATACTCCCTACATTTTATTGTAACATAAAAGTTTGTTTGAAGCTTCGACAAAAAACAAAGAATATTTGTTTGAAGGTCCGAGGATACTTTATTGCTGAACAGGGATTCTCTAGCACCGCGTGTGAATATTTGATATTTCCTGTGTGTGACGTCAACCATTGAAATGTCCTTAGGTGTTGACACACGTTGAGCTCTCGTGTTTCATGTGAATAAAAAATATTTATGCTTCGGTGAAATTTATGCTGCTCTCCTAACTAATTTTTTAAGTAGTAGTTATGCTACCACATGTTGATCAAGAGGCTACAAATGCCTTTTTTTTCTTTTCTATCAGTAGGTAGCTCTGAAGATTATCAAGTTCTTGTCGCAGTTCGAAAATTTACGATTTTAACTAGATCGATTAATAAATAAGTCCGTAAATAATTTTTGTGCTAATGTTACCTAGTTATTATACGCACAGTAAATAATGAATAATTGTATTGGTAGTGTAAAATTTAAATGCGATACACTTCAGTGAGATCTTATCATGCCGTGAATGGCATACAATCACTAAGCAATTTCATTTTATACGCCATTGGTAGTTGATATCACACGTGTTAAAGTAGACAAGGGAGCTGCTATTATTGTACAGGGACTTGCTCCCACCTGGAAACTACGAATACAAATGTTTAATAATGTGTATGTGACGTAAGGTAGAATTTCCTAGTTTTTCATAGGATTTTTTAAATACGTGATTGATTTATAAAGTGCTTTATGTTTGTTAAGCAGTTAATTTTATGCCATACACTTTTTCTGCTAAAATGTCCAAAAAGCCACAGGTGATTATGTATGACTACATTTTTAAGGGTTTTGATACAGGCAAAATGTGGTTAAATAGGTCAAATTTATAAATATGCGAGTCACATTGAAGAACACTTTTACAATAATTGTAATGGTTTGCGAGTGATTATAGTTAAAAAATAGTTTTTATGCGCAATCCGCCATCTACTATCCCTATCAATCTCATTGTAATACACAATAATAGGAATCTTTACCTCTGTGAAGACGATATAACTATATATATATATATATATATATATATTTTTTTAAATTCTATTGGGTTAGTTGCTTTAGTAAATTAGTGCATTCAAAGAAACCAGTTTTATAAAATTGTTCATTTTGCTTTTCCACTAAAACTGTGAGTGATTTCAAAAGTTTGTGCCTATGTCATTTGCACGCGATCTTTATGTGAAAGTGAGCGAGCAATGGGTCCCAACACTCCCAACGGCACAGGTGTGGAGGGGCGGTGAGTTGTGGACACGTTTTTTTGTTCAAAGTGATTGATGATCGATTTGATCGATGTTTCAAATCACGCTTCGAGGATAGCGCTTTTTTGTACACTATACGTGAATTCGTTACTTTCAAGTGATAATCATTCAAAGATGTTTTATTTTCTCTATTATTATATAAAATTATTAGAAATGCAACGCAATAGTTCAGTAACCAACACAGGACTGCTTAAAATAACTGTCTTAATCTTGATTTCTTGTTTCATAGTAAATATTACTTTATTTATTTTATATTTAGAGTTAAGTATTGTTTTTAAGCAATTATTAAAATAGCATCAAAGTTAACGTTTAGTAACCTTATTTTATAATACATCAAAGTATCGAGTAACTTATTGAGAAAAGTAATCACATACCTATAAAATAATATTTCTTATATGGAATACTTCTATATTCCTTTCTCAATTGTTTTAATAAAGAAAAATCGGTAAGCTTTCAATAATTCTACTAAATCTGCGAACTACATAGTTGCCGATTTGTTGTTCTATGCCATATTTTTTTCTTTCCTCTGTTGGTTTTTGATATCTTGATTAAAACTATTACAAGCAATGATCACTTTGACTCGTTCCCACTTCTGGGATTCCAAAAAGTATTTTATTTTTGTGGATTTTTCTATAGAATTTATAGCAATCATGATAAAAATAATATGAGTCATGTACATAAACACCAAAACTAATAAAATGTCACACTCGAAGTTTAAAATTGCTTTCACAGGATATATTTTTCAATATAAAACTTTTTCCAACTAAACAGTTACACAGAGTTTATAAAGTTAAATTCTCAGTATTTACAAATGGGGGAAGGAATCTTTAATTGCTTCCTTCCATTCGTTCAGGACGCATACGGTCACGCAACGTTGTCGCAACACGTGAAAAACCCGTTAACCAAATATAGTTTAACGTGAAGGTTATAAAGTTGAAAATGGCTGTTTGATCTCTAATCCGATTTAAGTGTTTGTTGTGACAGGCAATGATTTGGATCCCATTATTGCTGAGATAATACTTCTCAGTTGGTATTCTTGTTTGAATGTGACTTGATTTATGGCATCATGAGAAAGGTCTCACGCCATCTGAACAGACAATAGGCAGATTGATTTGGAATCATTTATAGCAGCATGTAAGGTTAATACGAAATGTCAAAATTCTGCATTCAATTATGAACTTTACTATCAAAGATTATAGTTTAAAATCTTAAATTTTGATTATTGTGCTAACCAGATGTACTAACGTATGTACAATATCTAAAGTCACAAGTTAATTAATTCATACATTTATTAATTCATATATCATACATGTATTTTTAATTTATTTGCTTACTAAATATTTAAGTAATCTAAGTTGCAAATTTTTAATATCCTACTAATAAATAGCGAATGAACGGCCATTTACCTTGAAACCCTAACTTATAGTACAGTCCGCTAAAGCATAATATAATAACTGCATAACTTTTTTTCTATTTTTGACGTAATTCAATTCATAAAATTTACTCAATATGCAACTAGCACAAACTTGATCCACCTGCTATTTCCAATTAAAATCTCTATTTACTGTGACTCCTAAATATTTGAAGGCTTCAACTAACTCTGTTCTCGGTAAAAACTAGAATGCATTTTGGTGTGATAGAATATACAATCCAATAAAACAAATTTATTCAAACTGGGTTGTAAGCACTTGTGAAAGTCGAAACTCTACCAACAGTTCGTAAATCTATGGCTGGGTGCCTTCTATTGAGAAGAATCGGCAGGAAACTCAGCAGCGGGCGCTTTTTTCTCTGTGTCTTATTTTATTTGGAAATTGACTTCATTAGACGACTAGACACTTTTCATCACAATATTAAATTCTATCACAGTATATATGTAACTAGCTGTTTTCTTGTGACTTCGTACGCGTAATTATAGTTATTTTAACTCCATATGACATAGCGATAGAATATTTTAAATCGATTCAGTAGTTTCTGAGCCTATTCGATGCAAACAAACCATCTCATCTTTATAATATTAGTAACCAACAAGACCAACATTTATTTCTATACCTGACTAGCGTAGGATATTAATTAAGCAGTGTAGTTTCTAATAAAATATCGGCCAAGTACAACTCTGAATCTTGCACAAAAGTATGTGTAGAAATATTCTAAACCCATAAGCGTCTCATATTTTTTATAAGATTTTCTGTCATTTTTAGGTAAAACTATTTTTAGCTTTTTCATTTTTATTTAAGTGATAATAATAGAAATAGATAATTTTCACCTATTAAAAAAGCTTCAAAACTTTTCATCTTAAACTAAATTATTTATTTATTTATTCCAGAGCAAGGAGTTAAGCAATGATTGCGGCATGGGAGTACGTGCTCCCGATTCTCTACCAGGACTCAAACACCACTATCCGCATTGTGGAGACAGGTAATTATAAATCTTGTGTATTCCTAAAGCCTGAAACCATATTTTATATTAGTACATTTCAATGTATTAATAAGAAGTTTAATTTCGCATGACTGCTTTATGAATAAGTTAATATTTTCAGATCCCCAACGAAATGCGATATAATGGGCGTGACAAAGCTAGTGAACGAGCCAAGCCCGAGTAGCTCCGAGGAGTCCAACTCTCCTACCGAGATCAACTGCTACCGACGGCTGGGTGATCGTCCACCGCTAATGAAGCGGCTAGCAATGGGTCTAAGTGGGGCATTGCTGCAACCATCTGATGACGATTCTACGCCGCTGGTTACAGACACGCCTACAACGTAACTAAATTATTTCAATTATTTTTTTAGAATTCTCTTTCCTGACTCCAAAACATAGCCATCGCAGTTAAATTGTTTCAGCTTGTAGGAATATAATGACCGAGCTTCACTGGCTAGAAAGAAAATTTAAAAACGATAAAATTCAATCTCTCTTTATTTCAGTTTGGTACATCAGATTAAAACATTCAATATTACGAAATAAGCTGCTCTTGTTAAAAAAATAAGAAAGCTTAGATACAAAGTTCGATGTAAGCATCATGGATATTTAAGCATATTTAAAGTTCAGTTAAATTACTTTGCACTTTTTTGGCAACAGTCCAGAAATTGAAATGAACAATAACAACTACACCTATCGCATCTAAAGGTGTTGTTCTTTAGTTATTTATCAGTAAACTAACTTTCCAAAGTTCGAGTTTTACTAGATATATTGAAACATATCTATTATTTGATTTTCAGGCCCACAAATCTTCCACTATGCATGAATGGTGGTTATATAAATGAGGCAACTGAAGCGGAGGCACGCACACGGGAAAGCAACCGTGAGTTACCTCCCACGCCACGACGTCGAGAGACACTGCATGATCAAGATCTTGACTTCCGAAGATGTAACAACATGAAAAATTGGTAATTAGAAAATATCAATAAATTTTGAGGTGTCAATAGTTTTGAATTTTAGTTTTAAATCGTTCTTAACTGATTACTAAAGACATTTATGAGAGTAGATCATGTTATCTTTTGAAATAAGCTGAAGCATTTCACTCTGAAGACTAAAGACATACTGAAGTTGCAAATAAAACATATAGATTCCATGATAAAATAGACGACCTGCTTTATAATTTCAGCTTCTCCGTTTCCAGTAGTCCATCAGCAGCATGTAGTAGAACGACATCATCTTCATCTGCTGCATCGTCTTGTGGTGGAAACGGTTCGCATGGTTCTGGCAATAATAACGTACCTAGAGCCGAGCCAGAGTTGCGGCAGGCACCTTGGTTTCAACAGGGTATTCCTAGAGAAGTAAGTTGATTTTTCGCTACCACGTATTTTATACTAATGTTAGTTCAATTATCTGCAATCATAAGTATATTGTAAAATTGTAAGTTATTATAATTGATAAATGTTTTATTAGCTATTCTATATTAATATTAACCCACTGTTTCTTGCTCGGTTGTCGAAAAAGTACCCAAGAACCCCTTGGGCAACAGAGTGTTGAGACTTAAGTATTTTCTATAATATTATGTATTATAAGTTTTCGGTATCGGAAATACCTAAATTAAGATATAATTCAACAAATTTATCATTTGGAAAATTATATTATATTTGGATTTCTTATTCATTATAAAAACAGAAACAATAATCTCTACAAAGGAGAATCGTTGTGGATTCGAAATAATTAGGTTAAAATAAGTATATCATTGAAGGAGAGAAGAGAAGTATGTACTGAGTTTATTTAGCACCGACATGTATTTTTAATTCTATTTCTTCTTTTATTATTAATAGCTTATCTGCAAGTTCTGCCAATGTCAAGTTATTAAATTAGTTACATTACATTGTACATGAAAATGAAATTAATGAAAATGAAATTTTTAATTAAACTACTATTATAAAAGAACATCTCATGACATAGATTGAGAGTGACGTAAAGTGGAAGGTGACGATGACTCTCTTGAATATAGAAATGATGCATTACATAAGCTATCTTGAATTCTGTTTATAAGATACAAAATTGATCATGAAACAAGATAAAGTATTATTCTAAAACACTTATGCTATGTTTGATTTCTAGATAGCATTGGAAGTGCTGAGCAGCCAGCCAGTAGGATCGTTTTTGGTCCGTGGTAGTACTACGCAAGCGGGCTGCTATGCGCTTTCAGTGCGAGTGCCTCGTGACTTCCAACCTTCAGGCATTGCGCACTATCTTATATTGCGTACACCAAAGGGTTATAAAATTAAGGTTAGTTTATAAACACAAAACATTATTATTATTTATTAATCCAAAACAACATTAAAATAACTATTGAAAGCTTATATTAGAGACGACGATATGAATGTCAATAGCTTCTGCTTAAATTAATAGATCATGTAGTTGATTCTGTTCTAAAGGTTAACCTATATTTAGCAAGTATAACAGCTTACACCATAGTCATATCGAAGGGGAAGAGCTGTATAGCTCAATAGTTGTTGTTGTTGTTGTGTGCTTGCGTGATATCTGGAGATTATGTAATGCAAAGGCCGATCATTTGCCGACCTCCGTAGTCGAGTGGTTCGTACACCAGTTTGAAGATGTCTCCATCTTTGATGATTCTATTGCCGGTCGGTCAATATAGAAAAATAATTTTTCATATCAATATAGAGTAATGGAGACAATCTTAAAAATCGGGGGCACGTTTTGTGGAACATTTGTAATTTAAGAGGACTGCCGAGTACTTCCGACGGTAGCGAGAATTTTGTTTAAGCAACTCAACATACATTGTGCAGTGCAGTGATAACAGTGTTTCTTATTGAATTTAAAATATTCATAATTTATCACTAGGTAAAATTAGTATTTATTAGTTATAAGTACAGTATTCAAAGAAAGAAAGTCTGATTTCTTTCTTTGAATACTGTACTTATAACTAATTAAACCAAGAAGATATTAAATTTATTAAAAACAAGAAGTTTTTTACTATAAAACTAGTAAATTTGACTTGGGCGGTGATTGCTAAGCGACGAGTTGAGACATCAATAAAGCGATGATGAAATGAATGAGTTATCTTTGATATGTTGAATTTTTTTATTTTGCAGGGTTTCACTAAAGAGTTCACGTCTCTCTGCGCACTAGTGACGCATCACAGTGTAATGCCGGAGCTTTTGCCGGCGCCGCTGCGGTTGCCGCGCGCCTCACGCCCGACACCCGCTCGGCATAATCAGGACCCAGATAAAGCAGACTTGCGCTCTCTCACGAGGCCACAGCAACATCATCACCACTTGCAAAACTTCCTCGCACAACTCGACGTGTAGCAAGCGGCCTTAAACTGAATATTAATATCCTTAGCACGGTCACTGAAATGAAATAATTTCCCGGCTTTAAGGGGCTTCTAAACGGGCAATATTTTTAGTAATTGATGACTGCAAAACAGTGGCCAGCCAGGTTGTGCAATACTTTAGTTATATACCAGCCATAGAATTGGCCATTCTTTTATATTGTTTTAAAACGATGCGGGCCGACAAAGAAAAAAATTCTGCGATGGTCAGGCAATAAGTTGCCCATAGTACAGCCACTAAATGCCGAAATATATTTCACTCACACGTAAACATATTCCTTTTGCTCGGTAGCGTAGTGAATATGGTGAAGGTCTGAGACCTTGTAGTGGGGACGTAAAAGGACTAATGATGATATGTATCTAGCCAAGTTTGTCATAGTAAAGTGTACCTAAAATGTTCATGATATTCATCAGGCAAGGGATAAAGGTTAACGGACGAAATACTTTATGTTCGAAGACCGTGTGGATAATAAGAAACTTAAAACCGATGTTTAGTAACGCATAGCTATTAACGTTATTCTGATGTCATTTCCAGTTCGAGTGAAAAAGACAAAATACTGTATAACAACTGTATGTATAATGCTTATTTAGTGCATAATAGTAAGGCCGTCAGGATTTAAACTCACCAATGCCATATATAGAGATTAACTATTACAGTTTTGTTATTTTAACCACTTCAATATAACCGAGTGTCTTCTGATAAGACATACTGTTTCTGAAAGCTCTTAAATCTAGGTAGAAAACATAATATATTTGAAAAATTTTGCGTTCAGAATACTAAATTGATATTTATTTATCTTAAAGAAAAATACTTCCTATACTTTTATTACAGTACATTTGACATGCTGTCTCTCTGCTCTGCAGTAGGAATATAGGGATCTAATTCTGTTTTCATTGATTTTAACCACTCGGGATTTTATGATGGGATTTTCTTAAGCGGTACTATTTTATATAAATTGGGTATTGTGTTTGAAATCTGTCGGCAAACAGTTATTATCCTTATGTCATTCATAAACTGATTAGAAACATACGAAGATTTAATTGTTAGCATGCAGTTTCGATGCAGTTAAAGCTAAATAAAAACTGCAATTTTCCGAGTTGGCGTGCAATCCAAATGCCATCTGTTTTGGTCTTTATAATGTATATAATACTTCTGGTACAAATTCAGTGCGGTCTATAATCTCCAGATCGCTTGTTTACCCAGACGTCTATCACGTTTCTGTGTATATAAACATGTATAGCTTGCGTAACTGATGACCGAATATATACAAAAGAACTAAATAAATGTGGTGCTTTGTCTTAAATGTGTTCATCGAGTCAGGAATAAAAACCTGAAAAGAGGAGAAGTTGACAAATCTACTGTTGCACTTAATTCTGTAATTACAGGATCAATAACACATACGGTCAGTTGCACAAACGTCTATCAAGGCTTAATGATCCTCTTATGAATGTCAAAATTGTATGGGTAATGACGCTTTAAACTAATGTCAATTTTAATGAATGTTTGTGCAACTGGCTGATAGTTTCAAAGATTTGTTCCAGACGGTTAATTCGCTTTTATGTAGATATCAAGCTTTATATATTATAGATATGGCATCCTGAATTTCTGGCTTTGAAAATAAAAATCGTTTTCATCGAATAGCTTTAGTTTTTGAGATATGGCTTATGTATGATTTTTAATTAAAACACAAAAAATAAATACTAAAATTATATTTTTGCATGTAATACTTGTGGTAAGTCTCGTTTCAAACATTTCTTTGCGAAGAATATTTTAACAAATCCTTTCGCGCTATCGTGACTTTAGTATTGGGCGCAATTACCTTTTTTCTTTCAATCTAGACGCTAGTAATTTGATCTGCTCTTTTGTCAATTTAAGATCTCTTACTAAGTCATTCAACGCGTTTTCGTTAAAAAGTTCTGTATCCCTAATGTCGGAACATTGGGGATACTTATACTGTTATTATGCGGTTATTTGAATAATGTCGTTTACATTAACGACGTAAATTAGCAATCATCATGGTGATTTTTCGGTTCCCGCCAGGTCAGGGGGGGTTGTGAACTTCAGGAAACTTCTTTTTCTACTTCACCATTATCGCAAACTAACAACACAATTTTGGCAAACAGTTTTCCCACGCCTTGTCAAAATTACACACTTGTACAATTTTTACGACCTGTCACTGATTTTCAAAACCATAAATTCATCCCAAATAAAGCAAAAAATACTCCGGATTATTTAAATAACACCTCGCTAAAATTTATATATTCGTAAATGTGCGCCTACTTTCACATAAAATATCAAAAAGCTGTGTACGAAAAATCAAAGCTGATGGATGGAAACGGTTAGTAGACTTAAATTGACTGTATCTAAAGATGAAGTTAAAGTGAAAAAAACTTCCAGAATTTTTTTATAAGCATTTAGTAACTATGAGTAATTTATCTAAAGAATTTTTGATAGTACTGGGTTTGCTTGTAGTAAAGTCACTTGATAATATTTTACACGATACATACATCGGGATTTAAGTGATAACATAATCGAGAAAGTGATCAATTTCTTTTAATTTTTAATTTTGGTTAAAAATCGCGAAAGAGGTTATAATTAATACCAACAGAAAAGAAAATAATAATATCAACTATCAGTTGTTAGTAATTTGTACTTTTTAAATGGAATTTTACTTTTAGGTATTGTTTCTATGGGAATTGCCAACTATTTACAGTGATCTCGAGTTATAAGCGATATGTTTATGGTGAAGGTCAGTGTGATAACAGTTATTTGTTATACAAGAGTGCAATGTTGTTTTTTAACCGCGTGCTTATATGACCGAGCTAGCAAAGGATTTTATGAAATTAGAAAAAGAGCACAAGGTGAAAAATATTTGCATTCGAGTACAACACTAGCTTTTTATCCCACTTCAGCGAGGAAATGAATACAAAGAAAACATTTACAATCACAAGATACCTACTTTTATTTCAGGTTAGGTATTAACTACTATATTGTGATAAGTAATCCAAGAAGATTTCGGGTTTGAATTTTTGATAAATTAAAAAGGTTGAATGTAAATTTCAGCACTATGGAGGTAGAAGTAAGTAAGTTTAATAATGTTTTGAATTCACAAAATTAGTGCACATGTTGTTCTAAATTCAATTTACTTTATCCTCTAGCAAAAATACTCTTTCCGAGATGAGGGGGATGAAAAATTATTTATTTCATTATCACAAAGATTGCTTCTTTGTAATCTAATTTTCTTTTAAAGATCTGTTCCAATTTCAAATATATATTATTGATATTGTGAGAATGGAACGAACAGATTAAAAATATTTCAATGAAAAATTTGAATTATAAATAGTATTAGAAAAATAGTATTTTTTACATTTTCGTCCAATTTACTTTTATGTTTATTAGCATGGTTAGTTAAAATCACTAAATAACAATAAAAACAAGGATTACATTATGAAAACTGTTTAAGGTTTAACAACTATTTAAAAGATCATTAGAGATGGAGTTAAATTAGAATTATTTAATCTTTGTAAAGTTTATATCAAGAGAATAAAAAAATAGTCATCGTTAAGTCATTAAATTATTGTACGTTGTCTAGTTACTGTTGCTAAGATTGTTCTCATTTATTTTATTATAAATAATAAATAAATAATGTGATAAATATAATAACATGCGTGTAAAAATGTATTTGTATCATAAACGAAATGTGTATATGTAATTATAGTTTTGTGTGTCATAATCAGAATAAGATAAAAATGCGAAATTTAAAATTTTTTATGTTCTTTTTTGTTTTTAGCGTTTTTCAATTTAGGCGTAATCTAGTCTTTTAAATGTACAGCTATTGTAGGAAAAGCGAAATCACAATTCATTTAATTGTTATATCGTGTTTATAGGGTTATGAGAAAATTTACTTTTTATAATTTGAAATCGTATTTTGAAAGTTACAAAATTACAAGTTTTGTAGCAGTAGTCCAAGATACAATGATATTGGTTCTAATTTTGAATTAAATAAAAAACGTTTTAAGTGCTCCTCGATGTTGCCAATAGTGACTCTTTTTAATCAGTTAATATTGTAATAGTCTAGCAACGCTGTATTAAACTATTAATATTTTAAAGGAACTATGAAACAAGTCGAGATATATAATTGATCAAAAACTAATGTTTTTTGAGCGGAGTTGCACTGTTTAATAGAAATGCAAGTATTTTATAATTAATCCTTTACCAATACGGTTTTAGTTTTGATCAGTAGATCATACAAGAAATTTGAATAGTGTACCATTTGACGACTAAAATGTTTTGTAATGCATTATTTAAACAAAGTAATGAGGTTTTAGTACGTACCTTATTATTTATTTAAATTTATTTAGTTTTATTTTTTTTTTCAGCTTATTTGAAAAAACCTTAATTTTCAGTTGATTAATGGGCATTTTACTTATATCTTCGTATGTAAGTATGATCTATTAACCCACGATAGTATTTGTTATTTGATTTTTGTGATTACTGAATTTAAATTTAACAGTATAAGCTTGTTAAGCTTGTTTCATAGCTTATGTAAAATACTACCGAAAATATTTGTTTATAACACAGCAACCCTTGACTAAATTACAAGCAAACGGCTACACAGCATTTAATTTTGAATGCAATAAGTATGACAAATTAAATAGATAAAATAAATTGGTTTCTTTTTTTTTATATATATAGTTGATGTGCAAACGATCGTACATGTGATATGTTTAACTATTCTGTGTGTTGAATTTTTTTTAAATTATGAAAGAACGTACAATACACTACTTTACGCCATAAGAGATTTTCATGGTGAACGTATATTTATCAGAACTGAAGAAGGAATTTTCTTTAAACATTGCAAATGAATGACTGACATTAGAATTGTGATGATTCGTTGCGTTCATGTGTGTGGTGGTATATGTTTATATACAAAGAATTCTTTAATATTCTTTGTATGGCCTCTGTCAACGCTTTCT